TGGTAAATCCTATAGTAAATTAATACCATAATCTGCTTTGGCTAGGGGTTAAACTAGGATTTATTGCAATACAACCTACAATAGAATCTCAGTTATTACCAACTAAGATAAGACTGCCAGTCCCTCATTGAAATCATTTTTTTTTATGTTTTAACGATATAGTACTGTCAATACATTTTATTAATTTATACAAAAATACAATAATAATAAAATCAAAACTAACAAATAGATGACTAACTACCTCCCGTAACTATATTGAAAGTCCATTTGAGTTGACCAAGCATCATCACTCCCCTTCAACAGATCCACTACACACATGTATAATGACTACTGTCTTCCATAGGAAATGGAAATAAAACATGGTCAACACTATTTTATTATCTTCTTTTTAAGGTAAATTTCCGAAAAACAAAAACAAAAATGTAACCCTTTAACTAATAGTAGCTATTTTCTAAAAAAGTAACTATAAAATCCAACCATCTATGCTAAAGAATTTACAAAATGAAGCAACATAAGGGGATTCTACTAAGTTCTTAGCTAAGTTGTCTAGTCAATTCTGGATTATAGCGACCACCTTGCACAGGTGTACCTATATCACTAAGTTCCAATAAAGGCTCTTCAGACTATCACTTCCAATACTAAGATATCTGTCAATTCAGATTACAGCTGACCCCGGCACAGGATGAGGTCTAAATCACACAGTCGGTCAAGTCTAGAAAATACTGCATGGGATTCTGCAGTCTTTGACGTCAGAGATCTGCAAAAAAAGAGTGTTGCCGTTTATGAAGGAATAGGGATATCATAACGTAGATTTGTGTATTCAAAGTATGTTGATTGTGATCATCAGTTAGGATACCCCTTGATGCCCATAAAAGTGGGCAAATAATTTTGAAAAAGAAAAAATGAGAAAAAATATACTGAAGAGAGGTGAAAAAAATATTTTAACAAAAAACAACACTGTTTAGACTTCAATAGCAATTTATATATGGATAGGAGTTGGGGAAATAAAGAAAGAAAAATTTTTAAAAAGAGGGTTTTTTATTTTGTTCGCAGGCTAAGCTGCGGCTGCCTTTGAATGGGCACTTTTTTAGAGTAAAAATTCTTGGATAAATACCAACGAGGGAGAGAGAGAGTTTTTCTATCAAAATCATTTTGACTATTAAAAATGAAAAATCAAAATAGTCAAAATGATGTCATATCACATGATTTTTTACATATAGAAAAAATAAAAAAACAAAAGATATATGATCTTGATCAATATCAATCTGATTCGTATGAAATAACTACTATTCGATTTTCTGCGACTAGAAGAATCTAATGAGCTAACATTCATTGATATTTGACCATCTAATCTCAAAATAACTGCAATTGAATTATCGGCCAAAATTATGAATTTGTAAATTCTACTTTAAATAAAAGAGTCCAGATTTTGAGATAGGATGATCTAAAATCAATGAATGTTAGCTCATTGGATTCATCTAGTTTCAGGAATCGAATGGGGGTTTTTTTTAATGATGCAGTACTGCCATTAAGTTTATTAATTTTATATTGTATACTAAATAAAATTTACAAAGAAAAAATACAAAGTAGATAAAAAACTAAACTAATGACTATCTCACATAGTTTTATTTCTAATAAAAGCTCAAACCCGTTTAGATCAACTGATCACCAAAATCCCCTCCAACCCAACCAAAAAATCCATATTTAATGATTAAGTTGTTAACAAGAAATTCAAATGAGGTTGTCAATAAAGCAACATAATTTGTAAATACTCTTCAATCCCAACTTCTATAAAAAATTTTAAACACACTAATAACCCTCCTAAGAAGAAAAATAGGTATAAATAGAAATTATTAAAAAAAAAAAAAGTAATACAACTCTATAAGAACCTAAATATCCAGTTAATTTTGAATATAATGACTACCTGGCCAAAAACGTTGTGTCCAAAAGAGAGATCCAAATAGAGGCTCTTCGTACATATAAATTCATAAGTACAGAAAAAATATCATGAGGAATCCACTATAAAATTAAATTACATTCACAGAAGGTCAGCGAGGAAGGATCTATGGGTGTAATTACTTTAGATTACTACTAACTGAATCAAATTAGCCAGCCAAGGTAAGGAAAAAATCAATAGTTTTTTGGATGCTAACCAAACCAGGGGATTAGGATCGTTCTGAAAGCAAGCTTCATCATACCATATAGAAAATTACGCTGAATTTGCACATGACCTTTGATGACAGAGGATCTGCAGAAAAGCAGTAGTCAATCAAAAAAGAGGATATTGTTTAGGAAGAAGAAAGGTGTCATCACATGAGATTTGTTTATCCAAAGTATGTCGATTATGATCATCAGTTTGGATACCCCTTGATGCCTACTTATTAGTAGGCAAAAAAGAAAAAGAGAAAAAAGGAAAAAAATTTTTCGAAAAGAGGTAAAGAAAATATATTTTAACAAAAAACAACACTGTTTAGACTATTCAAAAAATTTTATATAAATAGGGATATGGGAAATAAAGAGTGAAATATTTTTGAAAGGTGAGGTTTTTTTGTTTATTCGCAGGCTAAGCTGCGGTTGCCGTTGAACGAACACTTTTTTTAAGTAAAAATTTTTGGAAAAAATCTAACGAGGAAGAGTTTTTTGATTGTTAGGAAATCGAATGATTATTGTTTCATACAAATCAATGCGATATTGACTGAAATCGTATATCTTTTGTTATTTTGTATTTTTATATATAAAAAATCATGTGATATAATGTAATTTTGACTATTTCAACTTTTTATTTTGACTTTGACCTCCAAAGTCGAAACATTTCAACTTTTGGGTTTTCATTTTGACTTCATATATAGTCAAAATATCATACATAATGCTAGTATATCTATATGAAGGCTCTTACTTACTACTTTATAACAGTTAATGGTAATAGATATACCTTTTAATGAAATCTCTTCCCTCTTCTCATTGATGGTATATGGAACATTTCATCATATATACTTCACTTTCATTAACATAATGGTATTCTACTTAGACTAGATCATAATATCACTATATAATTTAATTATTATTATATAACCTGAATACTATTGTATGATCTAATTACCACTATATAATCTAAATATCACTCTAAGATCTAATTATCACTATATAATCTGAATATTACTCTATGATCTAATTATTATCATATAATCTAAATAATATAATCTAGATACCACCATATAATCTAAAAATATAATCTAGATACCACTATATAATCTACTTTTTTTTATATATCAGATATCTATTTTATACTCTACATATTCCTTTAAACCTTTTTTATTATTCATATTTTTTACCATTATATAATCTAAGTATTACTTACCATTTAATCTAATTATCATTATATAATCTAAATACTACTCTCTTCTTCTTGTTTTTGTGTCATTTATATTTCAAATTCTATATTTAGGTTATTAGCCTTCTATAGTTATTTAAATATCTGATTTTATGTTAAGGATGCTAGACATCTGTACCTGAATAGATTCTTGATTCTATATTGAGATGCTTACCTTTTACACCTATTTGGTTGCCTGTTAAAATGCTAAAAAAATTGCCAAAGATCTGATTAAAATTATAGAATAATGTTAGTTGAAATTTGCTTTGATTTTATTATGCCTTCTAGCTTCATTTGAATATAATATGAATCAAGAAAAGAACACTACCTCATCACTTTTAAGCATTTCTGTAGCTATTAATAGCTATCAGTTATCAAATGTAATATTATATATCTTACTTATAATTTTAGATTGGTTTAATTTATATTGCTATTCTCTATTGTCATTACTTACTCATACCCATTTATAGTCAATATCCATTTGTGAGAATTTTTTATCAAGAATATTACTACTTAATGCTTACTTATTATTTTTATCATACCAAGTAAGATAATCCTGATATAAAATAGTGTAACATATTTGTTTACAAAGAATATTCTCAGATCATATCAAAATATAATCTATTATGAATCGATCAATATTAGAATAAAGCACTTCACTAGAACTTATTATCTCATTCTGCTTTCTAATCTTCTGATAACTAATTGCATTTTTAAGCCTAGTATTTTCATCTTTAAGCTCATTAACTTGTTCTCTTAATGGATTAATCTTTAATTACATATTTAAAAACTTGTGAGTAAATGTAAATTCAAATTGCAAATTAGTATTTTGCCATCTCAAATAATAATATTCAAAATCTATTGATATTTTATATAATTATTTTTTATTTGATATTTTTTCTGCTCTTTATTTTATATATTACTTTTTCTTCTACCATTAGACCACTTAAATTTTCTGATTGTGACTTTTTTTGTCTACTATGTAATTGGATTAGTGCTTGCTAGCTGGATCTGTTATTTGCCTGTTTTCTTTTCCTATCTATTACTAAGTGATCCACCAAAGTAAAATTTCTTATTTCTTTTCCTTATAATAATTCTACTTTGGTGAATCACCTTTTCTATACCTTATTTTGTATCCTTACGCTTTTAGATCTCTTTCAAGCATAATTGCTACTTTGGATCATTTTTTGAATACCAGTTGAAACATATGTGAAATGTGAAACTTGTATTTTTATCATTTATCAAAGATGTATTGCAATCTATTTGCCATTTTTTTGATTATTGGGTGAGACACACAAAATGCTGATAGTGCTATTTTTGCAATCCCACCTTTTATGGTTTATTTGATTGTTAAGGATGAGACATGAAGTGCTGAATCAGTAGTATGTCATGTTAAAATTTCTAATCTATTTATCTTATAATAATTCTAACTTGAAATACTATCAGAATTATATTTTTTTTTACACCCCCTATATTTTCAACCTCTTTCTTACCTATTACAAAGTGATTCACCAAGGTAAAATTTCTTATTTCTTTTTCTTATAATATTTCTATTTTGGTAGGTCTGTCTACCTTCTTTTTTTGCCCTTACATTTCTAGATATCTTTCAAGCATAATTGCTACTTTTGAGTTATTTCTTAAATGTTGGATGAGTCACATACTGAATATTGAACTTACATTCTTTTGCCGATGGTTCAAGATTAGGTATCTCTTCTGAGTCTTCTGCTTTCTTCAGCCTCTTTCTTGAATATTGCCAGTAGCTTTCCAAAGCAGGCTGATTGGAGAAAGCCTATCTCAATTGCCTAGCCTGATAGGTTTTCTTTTTTCGAACTATAGTAAGAAAAAAGGGCTATATATTGGGAAATCAGTTTGCAGATAGGCACATTTACAAGTACTGTCTAATAGAGGAAGTAAAAATTCCGTTGCATATAACTTCACTGAGTGCTGTATATCTGCTTAGATAACATTAAGAACGGCTGTCACATACACAATTTATAAAATATTGCATAATACTGATTCTGAAGATAGTGAACATAGTTATGGCGAAATGGTAATAATTGTTTCGACCCCAAAAATTCATAGAATAGGATTCGATTTCATGCATGTATATTTTTCTTGGCAAAAGTGATTGGCATTACAATTTGTAACATGAACGTGATTTTTTTATTTGGATCCATGTTGGCAAAATTTTAAGTTATGAAATACCGTGACAAAATGTCATGATCAAACTACTGTCCGAAAAAAGATGAAGCTTTCGTTCAGATTGCCTTCACTATCTCACAAACACAAAAGCAAACATGAGTACGATATGGATAAAGTAAAGGGGTTATAACAGATGCGGAAAATGGTATTTTATGTAGAGGGAATAAAAGGGTAAAGTCATTGAATAGTCTCGCGGAGGAGTAGATAGGCAGATAAAACCCTAGTGACGTAGTAACTACATGTATCATGGGCAGAGTCCCATATTCCTTGAATAAAAAATTTTTAGTACAACAATCACTGATGAGGAAATATCTCGTTTTTCATAACCACCGCATAATATCATGGCGTCTTGACTTGAGATTAAGTGTTCGACATCATGTATCACAGGAATAAATAATTGCATGTAATTTATTCTCGAACTTTCCTGCATATATTCTACGTAAAGACTCTTGTTGATCTTTATATAAGGAATAGCATCAAATTTTCTATTCTAAATTGGAGATCAGATTTTAAATAAAAAGTGAGGCGGATTGGAGTTGCATGAATAAGAAACATAAAGGTAAGGTTAATTGATCTATTATTTATTGTTATTCTTTTAACTCATTGATGAAATGGATAAATTCGGATATTTTCTTCGAAAAATTGGTACATAGATAGGAACATAGCGAAAAAGTTAGCATAGCTGGAAGGAACTCTCATTTTATGGTATAGAGCTCGAGATGTTTTCTCTCTTTAAATGTCAATTATTTTTTTACTAAATTAGTTTAGCTAGAGACAGTGGTGGTATTTTATTTCCATAATTCCATTCATTTTATAAAAATAAAAGATTTTTGCTTTATCTTTAATCTGTGTACTTAAAAGAAGTTGTAGAAACGTGAAAAAATTAAAAATGATTACTTTTCTTTTAATTTTATTTCAGCTATTTTACAAATTATAATCATAAAAATTTTACTAAACTACATTATGGTAATTTGAAAATCACATGCATCACAGCATCAGACATAATAATTATCATATAAGAAAATTTTTTCCTTCGCATGCACATTATGCAAATACAATACTTAATCATCAACTATCATTTTTGATTCTTCCATACCCTCATCCATCATCATTTCCAATACTTTTTCATCTTCCTCCCCCTTATTCATAATCATTTCCGATGCTTTTTCAGCAATAAATCTTGTAAAGTCTCCATATATTCCCATAAATTCCAGAAGCTGATCTCCAAACACAATGCCAGTTCTTGTTGTTAAGTTTCCTGAGACTCTTGAGGGAAGCTCGTTAACATTATGTAAAAACCGCTTTACAGTCATCACTATAAAACATTCACAACCCACAGTAGCCTTTTCTAATTCTTTTTTAAAATCTTCCAATGTGAACTCTCCTGTAAGCGTTTCATGGACAGGAAAATCTGATTCAATAGCAGAACTGAATTTATACTGCTCTTCTGCATGTGGTGTTAGTGAGTCAGACGACCCACTATGCCTACAAACCAATACGATGAAACGGCCTATTGTGACATCTATAATTTCTACCTTGTCATTTTTAGCATCTGCAATAATAGATACTTTTTTACGATCATTTAATTGATTCCAAGAGTACGGATTCTTGGCATCATTATGATCTTTCTTTTTTAAGATGGGTGCTGATCTATAATCTACATTATGTTGAATGGCAATTATCATAGATAATACTTCACCTGATGCCTGGAGACACCCAAAGTAAATTTCTTTAATAGTCATTTGACGAACTCTAATCATATCCGCCAATCTGTATGTAATCAGATGCATATGTAAAATGAATTTTGGGAAAGATTCTTCATCTAGTTGGTTAAATGGATCCAAGATGATATCATCAAAGAAACCTAACCCTAAATGTGAAACAAGAGATGCAATTAATACAAGAGGAACTTTAGCTTTATATTGCGTGTTATCAATCTCTTCTAAAAAAATAAGACCCTCGGCTTCATGATCCCTTACAGTACTTTCATCCAGAGCAGTGTCCTTTGTGATTGACTTTTGAGTATGTATCCAAAACATAAACTTCAATATGGCTCTTTTACGTTTTTCATCTTCTTTGTCTTGTGGATCTTTTCTCCCTCCAACAGAATCTAGCCAATTAGTAAGTGAATATCTTTTCTTTGCCCATTCAACAAGAATTTTCCAAATTTCTCGTGCTTGTTCTGCTGAATCAAGAGGACTCTTCATCTTCAAAAGCTCTAAAGCACACTCTTCCATAATAATTGCAATTCCTTTGATAGCACCAATCAAGATAAGATACAATAGATTTTCACGCGAAATTGGACTGGTAATTTCATTAGAATTTCGCATTTTATGATCTATTACAGAATCCATAAAGTTAAGAGATCTTTCTATATCCATAAGTGACATATGTATATTATAAACATTGTAATCAGTCACGCTAAGATGACCTGGATTATCAAACTCCTGGAGCTTTACTGGAGCAGTTCCTGTGCAAATAGGTACGATCAAAATTCCCAGATCACAGACTTGTTTGTTTGCCACAAGTTGAGAGGTGTAGCGTAAAATATTTGCAATTAGATATTCATCACGCTAATACTCGTCCAATTGCAATAGGATCAGAAGTTTCCGCTGAGGTTTTGTATTTCAGATCGCTTGTAATACTGTAATTAAATCGAAAGCAGAACTTTTTGCTAATTCTTTAAAATATTGTAGGGATTCTTGCTGGTAGTTCTTTGTAAAATAATATGACGCAATAGCTAATGCTAGATAGATACTTACATTATTTACGTGTGATAGATCATGTGGATAACGTCCTGTAGATTGGTCACGTAAAAGACATTTATCAAAATGAACGAGGGAAGATTCCAGAAAAATCTGAACAAATATATGAATAACTTCAAAATTACTATCCTTAATTTGTTTAAGGTCTTTGATTATATTAATCGTCTCAAATCCATGTCGCATTTTTCCAGTGCCAGAACCACTAGAGATACTGATTCCTTGATAATCATTTTGACGAGAACTTCCTCTCTCAAAGGCACATAAATTAATTTCTATTCTATTTTGAATGAACTCTTGTATATGTGTTCTTTCGATGTATTTATACATGGTTATAACAGGTTTGTCTTTATTTCCTATCGTCCAACCAGTTTCGATAATTCTTTTTATCATAAGGGGTTCTTCTGAGAATAAATAATAGTGGATTAAGATATAGGACTATAGACAATACTCAAGTTATTTAGACGCAAATACTATATCTTGTATAATAATTCGTGAAGGACGCGAAAAAAAAAGATCAGACCAAATCAATATTTTATTACTGCAAATTTCTTGTTCAAGAGGTAAAACGTTGGGAGACACTTACCAGTGGAGGTGGAGATGACGGTGATGATGTGCATGTTTTCCACTGTAATATTATTATGATTGGCTAATTCATCTTTAAAACACGAACTAAACAAGGCTTGATCTTTCATTACTTTCCCGCTAAGTTTTTGCATGATATCATCTTCGGTAGAAATATTATCATCTTCAATCCTTTTCTCATCGACATTAACTTTCCAAAATTTCACTCTATTTCTGTGAGAACCACTAACTTCTTTCATATCACATATATAGTTTTTGAGATGTAAAATTTTGAATAAGTTTAAGAAGATGTTTTTTTATCAAACTGGACAAATCTTTTATTCTTATCGTTTTTGTAAATATCAACAGAATAAATTTCAGAAAAGTTACTTGAAAGTACGTAACAATTAAATGATGCTTCTATCATGATGATATCGCTGTAAAAAGGTATAAAGTGAAAAAATACTTAAGAGAAAGTTTAGAAAGTTTGAAGAAATATTAAGGTGAGGTATATATACTCTATATACCTTTCTGATACATCGTGACATAGACTTTTGTATAAACTTTGTGGCTTGTAGTGACATAATTACAGCAAATAATATAGATACTTCGATCAAAATTAATAAGCATAGTAAAAAAAAGTAATTTATCAGTACACGAAAAGATTTTTGATTCTCCGACGAATCCTCCTGAGTATGGTGCATAATATCTATACTCATTAAAAATTTAACCTAAATTCAGAAAAAATAAACCAATTTTTTTATAGTTTACATTTTGAATTGAATAATTATTTAAAAAGTTATCGGGGTTTAAAAGTTGGATATATTATTAGTAATTAGCCTGACTTTACATGGGTATTTACAGGGGTATATTTGCAATCTGACCAATAAAAATGCGTGAAATTATCACGTGATAATTTCTTTTGATTGCTGCGTTATATAATTTAGCAGGTTCGGAAAATTCATGTTCATATACTTTCCGGTAGTTAAATTATACTTTTTTATGATCAATGAATGTTAATCGCAGGTAAATATAATTAAACTATACTTTTTACAATCAATCAATATTAGTATAGTATATTTAATTAAATAAACTATGGTAAATATTGGTTATAAAGGTTATAAAGAAATTCATAAATACATAAAATAGATGACTTTTTTCTAAATCCATAGAATTTTTGCCAATATTAATAAAGACAGTCAAAATGTGTGATCGCAAATTTTATTCGTATTTGCACTATATCTAAAAATGTGATAGTAACCACGTTTTAAATCATTAAAATTAATAAAATTAATTATGCGCTTTACAGATGATCAAAATCAACCCGAATCTTCAATTCTAATTAATAACAATTGTAAAAAAAAATGCTGGTCGTTATGACACAGTTACTGCAGTTACTGCATTTTATAATAATAGTAGTTCATTTAATCCTTTTGATAATACTGGTTCTTTTGGTTCTTATGATGGTAGTTCATTAGTTCTTATGGTGATAGTGTTTCATTTGATCTTTATGGTAATGATGGTTTGTTTGGTCCTTATAGTGATGGTGATTCGTCTGGTCCTTATGGTAATTGTGATTCAGCTGATCCTTTTGATAATAGTGATTTGTTTGATACTTCTAGTGATGGTAAGATCACAGATGAAAGTAATATTAGTATAGATTTGGGATTATTTGGTATGAAAGAATTTGGTGAAGAAGAGTGTAGTGATGACGAAGATAGTAGTTAGGATGATAATAATGAAGATGATGTTACCGAAGAGATACAAAACCTAAAAAATAAAGAACTTAAATTAGTGTGAAAGGAAGAAAGTGAATTAGAAAAATAAAACGTGGTTGCTATATGACAGAAAAGACTTCAAGATCAAGTTATTATGAAAAATATGGACCAACCAGTTCATTTACCAAGGCAACCATTAATACTAAAAAAATTACAAGTGTTTTTAAAATTGGTAATCAAGCTACAATTATACGACCTGATGAAATAGAGCAAATTTCAAGTAATTCAGAAGATGAAATCATCAATAAAGATACTTACCAAATTGATAAAAAAAATATGAAGTCTAAAAGAACAATTAGAAAAGCAATATAATAAAATGACCGTTACCAAATATAATAAAAAAGAGCTATCTATGAATATCTTACCCGCTTAAATAATGGAAAAATGCATGCTAGTTAGAGGCAGCTAAAATCATTTTTGTTGATGGTGGTTTATAGAAAATGCGACGTATCTGATATAATGCAAATTATTGGTTATATAATAACAAACTTCTAGTATCTAAACGTGAAAAGCATCAAAAAACTATTAGATTAATTGATGATGAAGATATAGCTGAAAAATGTTAAATTTAGGTTTACGAGCAAAATTTTAAGGCTATACCAGCTACATTTAAAGAATTTGTTGAACAGAAGCTATTGCTTGATATCAGAATTACAAAAAAAATCTATTTCTTTAATGACTGCAACAAGATAGCTTAATATTCTTGATTATTCATTTCAACAATATCATCAAGGTATATATTACGACAGATACAAACGAGATGATGTTTTATAATATCGCAAAGTATTTTTAGAAAAAATGTTTGAACATGAGAAATATATGTCTAAGTATAAAGGTGAAACAATGGATCGTATACATCCCAACTTACCTGAAGAAGAAAAAGAAAGAATTCTTGTAACTCATAATAAGTGTATTTTTATTCTAAAGATGGTAAACGTAGAATTTAGGCTAAAAATGAAGAACTGCTACTATGAAAAAATGGGAATGGAAGATCTATAATAGTCAGTAAGTTTCTTACTAAAATTAATAAACATTTGCATTTACATCAAGCAGATATATTACAAAATCCAAATATACTTGAAGAAGCATGATACTATTTGAAACCTGGTAAAAATCAAGAAGGTTACTGGACAGCTGATCATCTTTTTGAATAAATCAAATATAAAGCTATTCCTATTTTTGAGACATTTTATCCAAATTGTATAGCAGTATTTGCCTTTGATAATAGTTTTAATCATGTTGCATTTGGAAAAGATGCTTTAGTTGCAAGTCGAATGAATTTAAATCCTAGTGGCAAGCAACCAAATATGTATGATACTTATTTTGAACCAAATCAACAGCCGCAATCAATGACATTTTCAGCCACACATCATAATGAAAAACTTCAAGGTAAGCCAAAAAGAATTAAATAAGTATTAATAGAACGAGAAAAATGGTCATCTGAAGGATTAATATTAGAATGTAAAAATTGTAAAGAAAAAATTCATGTTCCTTCAAGAATTTCTTGTTGTACTTATCGAGTAATATCTTTAGAACCTGATTTTCTTGCACAAAAAGAAGCAATTGAAGAATTAATTGAAAAGGCTGGTAATATGTGTATTTTTTATTCCAAATTTCATTGTGAACTAAATTTTATTGAAAGATATTAGAGAATTTGTAAAAGATATACACAAGAAAATTGCAATTATTCGTGAAAGGGATTACTAAAGATGGTACAGCAATTGATTTCAAATTTACAAAATGTTGCAACATAAGCTAAAATTAGTTGCAACATAT